AAAGCAGAATAAAACCTCCTTAACTAATATGAAGAATCCAATAAAAGAAATTCCTTTTGGCCATGTCTGAATATGTATATATCATTCTGTATTTTTATTTTATGATCTCTTTGCCATCTTCAGTCTTCTAGACTCATTGTTTATCATTGCTTTGATCAGAGCTTTAGGTGTTTCAAAGTTATTTTTCTTGTATAGTGTTTTCATTATGTACATTTTTATAGTTCTCGTTTCACTCTTTTTCAGTAGAAGTTTCTTCTGAAACTGTCCCTTTTGTCATTTTTTTTAACCTTATAATAATATCCCATTACATTTATATACCACAATTTGTTTAGTCTTTCCCCAATAGATGGGTATGCTCTTTGTTTCGGGCTACTACGAATAAAGCTACTATAAATATTTGATACATATGGGTTATTTTCCTCTTTCTTTGATCTCCTTGGGGGTAGAGACTTATCAGATGTATTTCTGGTTCAAAGAGTATGCTCAAAGAGTATCACTTTTTAGGTATAGTTTTGTGAATATATTTTCCTGTTATTCCCATCTTGCTCTTTTTGAATAAGGTAATTCTTTCTAGAGCTTGATTCTGTTTATGGATCTTATCTCACGACGTCTTTAGTCATAATTTTAACGTTAAATGTATCTTTTGGTCTTAGTGTCTCTAGCTTACTTTCCTTGTTACTCATACTTTGTGCATTTCTGTATCCATTTAGTATTCCCTGGGTGTATGTATGTATGTATGTGTGTGTATGTGTAAGTAATCTATACAATATGTGTATATGGAAAACAATCTGGAAAATTCTTATTGTTCATTATTATTATTAGATTGAGAAATAGCTGCCTGAGTCTTTCTCAGTGGAGAATTACCAACCATGACTATTTTGTTCTTCTACCACTTACTAGATTATATTTCACTTCATGTCATATTTGTATTTATATCATTATTACCTGTAGGGCAGGGAGCTGCTTCCCAAGGAGTCCATTTCTTTCCCCTTTGAGCAAAGATTCATATCTGTTACTATGAGTTCAGTGGTCCTCCTTCCTTTTCTTCTGTGTCACAATCTTCCACTCTCTCACATCCTTACACAGATCAAGATCAGTTTTCCACAGTTCTTTTCTTTGTTGAAACTTCATTTACTTAAAGCCCACAAAATCACTTTTTTTCCCATCTGACTCATAAAAAAGAAACTACCCCAATTAAACCCAAACCTTTTGTTACTCTTTAATAATTATGATAAATAAAATGTTCTATGGATTTAAATATATCCTTTGGGGGAGATGAGAAATTGCATTTGCAGTTAGCTGCAAGTTGTAGTGTTGAGCCATGTCTAGTATTTCATCCTATCTGAAACAGTTTAGGCCAATTTGTCACAGAAGATTGATTTCTGAAAGCCTGAATCCACTTGATGTTTTCTTCTCTTCTATAAGGTTGCATGATTATTTGGATAGTTTTATACTATGATAAACATGTCACTTGGCCCTTACTGCCATTTTAAAAGCTTAACACTTGCTTTACTCTGTATTCCTCCTTTTGTTCTAGCATTGATTCTTGCTAGCAAATGCACTCAAAAGAAAGAATCTGTGTATGAGAACTCTTTGTAAAAGTCTTCCAATGATTTATTCTTGGGTAGAGTTGACTGGATTTTCAAAGGCCATCTAAGCAGGGTACAGGCACTAGCAGGTTTTGCAGAAGTGTTAAAAAGCTTCAGGAATGGTTCTTGCTGTAGTCTTTATGTCTGTCATCTAAAGACCTAGCAAAGCTAGGAGAAACTCACTCCTAGATTAGCTACAGAATGATGAATATTTTAGATTTGACAGTCGTTTATTTATTTATTTTGCAATGTAATATAAAGGTAGTATTTTTTTTTCTTTTGGCTCAATCTGTGATTTCATTGGTATAGGGGACTGTCAGTGAGAAAAGAGCCTTTCTCAAGGTAGGTCAGCAACTGTTCTGCAACATGTAGTCTTAGAGAACTCTCTGTATTCTAGCACTAAGAGGTAAATAACTTTCTTGTTACCTCACAGCCAGAATATCTAAGTGTGTTGACTCTGAGTTGAGAGCTATATTGAGACCTATATATGTAATATCCAGTTGTTTATTGATACAAAGGACCATATTTTGGAAAATTATGTTTTCTCAGTGATATCATGTGGTTGCAGTAGCCAAAACTAATTAATCAGTCAGTAAGCATTTATTGTTTGTTATGTGTCCGATTTATAACCTGGCCCTGTCTTATCTTTCCAGCTTCTTATACTGTACTCAGCCCCATGTACTCTGTGATATGGTGACACTAACCTCTTTCCTATTCAAGGACACTAGCCTATTTCCTATACAAGACTACCCATCTCCTGACTGCATGCACTGGTTATCTGTCCCTCAGGTCTAGAATTTCTTCTGTCTTCATCTCTGCCTCTTGGCTTCCTGTTAATCCTGGCTAATCCTATCTTCTATAAGTAGTCTTTCACAAACCCCCTTAATTCTAATGCCTGCCCTCATTTGACTATCTCCCATTCATTCTGTCTCTATCTTGTTTGTATATAATTCTTTGCATGTTGTCTCCCCTGTTAGACTGAGAACATTTGAGGGCCAGGACTTTCTTCTGCTCTTCTTTATAATATCAGGCACTTAAAAATAATTATTGAGTGATTGACTACTAAGTGCTGAGAATAAAGAGAAAAACACCCTATAAATCAAGAAGCTTTTATTAATCACCTGAAATTTAATAGACACTATACTAAGTGCTAGAGATATAAAGAAAAAGGTGAAACAGCCCCTGTCTTTTAGAAGTTTATTTTCTGATGGGGGAGTTGAAATGTACTGTACATATATGAGTGTACACAGAATGTATACTAAGCAAATACACGGTAGTTTAGGAGGAATGGAACTAGCAACTGGGGGATCAGGAAAAGCTTAATGTAGAAGCCACGAGATGAGCTTTAAGGGAGACTAGTCATTCCAGAAGGGGGAGACAAGGAAGAAGAGGGACAGGTACAGGAGAACAGCCAGGGCAAAGCCACAGAGGTGTGAGATGGAGTCTCATGTGTGAAGAAAAGCAAGTAGGTTCATATGGCTGCAACATACTGTACATAGAATGGTGTACATCATGTATAAGATTGGAATGATAGAATGGGGCCAGCTTGTGAAAAGCTTTCAGTGCTAGATAGAGTAGTTCATATTTGATCCTAGAGGTTAACAGGGAGCCACTGGAGTTAATTGATTTGGAAGAATGGTGGGGGGGGGGCATAGTCAGACATATGTTTTAGGAAAATCACTGTGGTGGATGCATTACAGTGGGGGAATATGTAGGAGGCTATTATAGTAGTTTAGGGGAGAGGTGAGTAAAGGACCTGGTCTAGGGTGATGGCTGTTAGAAAAGGGAATGTATGGTAGAGATATATAGAAAGAATGGTAGGATTTGGTAACTGACTAAATATATGTAGCAAGTAAGAATGGTACTGAAGTTCTAAGCCTGTGTGACAAGGTCTTCTTTGCTGGATCTGCATCCAGATTATGCCCACTAAGTCTGTGTATCCCCCAGTCTCTGCCACCAGGTTCCTTTTCTTTTCTTTCTGTGCTGTTTTGCTTGAAGATCTCATGATATCCCATGGCTTTACCCATCGTATCTATGGAAATTATTCCCAGATCTGTATATCCAACCTTAATCTGTCTCCTGAGCTCTGGTCCCCTATCACAACTGTCTTTGGAAGAGCTCTAATTGGAAGTCCTGTTGGCATCTCAAACTCAGCATGTCCAAAATTGAAATGTTTATCTTTATCCCAAACCTTCCTTTCCCCCCACTACCCTCTTATTGTTGTGGTGACTAGGATCCTCCCACTTACCCAGAGTAGTCACTTCACATTTTCAATCTGTTGTCAGATCTTGTCTATATTACCTTTAGAACATCAGTGCATCTCCTCAGTGCATTCTATGATCCAGCTTCCCTGGCCTGCATGCTATTCCTTATTATGTATGACACTCTATCTCCAGATTCTCTGCTACTTCCCATTCCTGGATTGCTCTCCCTCCTTACCTCCACCTCATGACTTTGCTTGTTTCCTTTAAGACTTAGCTCAAACCTCACTTTCCTTAAGGATACATTTCTTCATACCCCCCCCCTTCCCCTGCCATGGGCTACTAGTCCTTTCCCTCAGACATTTTGTGTTTTTCTCATCACACACACACACACACACACACACACACACACACACACACACATGTTTTTTTCTTGCCCATTAATATGTTGAGCTCCTTAAGAGTAGCGTTTATTTTTTTCTCTTTTTTGGTATCCCTAGTACTTAGCCCAGTGACTACATAGTAAGTACTTAACAAATTGTTCTTGTCTTGAAATTGGAGGATAGGGATGTTCTGAGTTTTTGGAGAAAGATAATGAGTTTAGTTTTAAACATATTGAATTGGAGATTCTTATGGTGTATAGGACATCTCATTTGAAATATCTGTTGGGCAATTGTTAATGAAGTTGGCCCTCACTAGAGAGACTATAGCTTTATAGATCTTGGATTCATGTGCTTAGGGAAGTTTAATAGTAAATAAATTTTATATAGTGCTTACTATGTGTCAGACATTATGATTGATAAAGAAAGCAAGTTAATTACAGAGAACCCAATAAAGTTAGTGATCAAGTGTTTGAATTCCAAAAGTATTTTCTCTACTCTTAAAATATTAGGATTGTGTCTTGGCATTGTTCAGCCATTGGTGTCATCAGTTCAACTCAATTCTTGACACTGAAGGATTAAATTAATTGTATTAAGAAGGTAGAGATCCAGGACTTTTATATCAAACTATAAAAGAAAAATTGATGAGTATTTGGCTTCAAGAGTTATAATAGAGACTTCATCAATATTTTATAGGTATATATATAAAAGGTAGCCTACAGCAAAATATAAATGAAAATTAGAAATTCAATCTATAATGATAGATGAACACAATTACTTAACTGAGATGATTATTATTTATGCTTTTCTCTTTCACTTTCTTTGCATAGGAAAGAGTTGCAGGAGCTGCAGAATCTTTACCAACAAAATCAGGAACACGCAGCACAGCAGGCAGAGTTGATCCATCAACTTCATGTTCTCAATATGGATACACAGAAAGTAATGAGAAATCAGGAAGATGTCCATACAACTGAAAGTATATCCTATCAAAAAGTATGCATTTATTGTCATAAACTGTGTATACCAAAAGTATTATAATTAGACAATTTAGATTTTCCATATTTCAGTGTTCTCTTGTTACCTCCTTTTTATAAATTTTCTTCTAGATAAAGCAATGGAAAATGGCATTGGATTTGATGGAATTTTGCATTCTAAGAATAATCTTTAATATTTAACAACAGTAGGACATGCTGCAGCTTGGGGAAAATGACTATAAGATGGTGATTTCATTTCATATGTAATAATGGGATATGATGAAATCTCCTTAGATTTTATCTTAACAACCAGGAGACCTTCTGTGGGATAGAATGTGAGGATTGATTTTGTCAAAAAAATTCCCTTTTGTGATTCCATTTGGAACTACAACTTTATGTGATGGAACAAGAGAGTATGAGCACAAACTACTCTTACCAATTTATATACAATCTTGAATAGGAAACATTAACTGTTGATATATCCTGGATTAATAGGTTTATTGATTTTTCTCACCATAGTTAGGAAATACAGAAGTAGTATTGCACAGTGGAGAAAAATGCTGGAGTCAAGAAGATCGGGGTTTATATCCTGCTTCTGAATCCTCCATGTTATGTAACCTCTCTGTGTCTCAGACCACTCCCTAGGTTGGGATTTATATCTATAGAAGTTTCTGCAGTGGAATAGGTTATGCTGGTTAAATCACAGATCCTTTACATATTCTAGTATTTGTAAGAATTTTGGGTAATGAATTGATTCAGGAGTTGTGCCATTCATGGAGATTGTAATATGGAAAATATTTTGTGGTTTGTTGTTTGTTATTCAGTTTAATCTAGTGTCATAATATCTTGTTGATTTTATCTGATTTAATACCACATGGTTAAACTATGAATTATTTGTCATTTGCTGACTTTTTGTTTTTCATCTTCAATTCCCAAATGGTTTTAGTCACCTTCTCAAGAAGCTGGGTCTGTAATTTAGGTACACTGACATTAAATGACAATAATAAGCCATGACAGCGCAGTCTAAGTAGTGAGACTCATATCTTTCCTCAGATTAACAGGCTCATAATACTTAAAGCTGAAAAGGAATTTTAGAGATCATTTTGTTTCACCCTCTACTTTTAGAGATGAGGAAACTGAAGCCCAGAAGAAAGCCAAGTGGCTTGCTCAAGATCACAGAGATAGCAGAGCTACAATTAATATTTTTTTAATGCAAATTCAGTGTTATTTCCACTATACCATGTGATTATTAGTTATCTGGTCAAGCATTTGAGCAAAAACAATTTATGGTAAAATTTATCTGCTGTTATACTAAGATGAATTTATTGAAAGTTAAGCTTAATGTACAATTAAATAGTAAATAGGTAATCTCTGACTTAAATTCTCCTAAATTATATATATTCCTTACATTCAAACTGTCACCTAGAGCTAATGGTAGCCACAGGAATTCTCTTTCCTTCCTTCTGTGGTAGATTAGAATTTTACTCTCATTCCTTCCACTTGTACTGACTAATTTATGGTAGTCTTATCCATTTGAACAATTCTGTTTAAGAAACATTAAGTGCCTTTTATGTCATGCAAGATATTGTGCTAAGTGTTGGGACAACGGCAAAAAATGAAACAGATCCCTGCCTTCAAGAATCTTACATTCTGCTACATACAAATATAGTACAAGGAAACTTGTGTAAGGAGAGGCACTAATAACTGGAGGAATCAGAGATTTCATGGAGGAAGTGACATTTGAGCATTGAAGGAAGACAGGGGGAGGGGTGTATGGAGCCAAGATAGCAGAGAAAAGTCAGAGACAAGTGTTTATTGAGCACCTACTATGTGCCATACATTTTACAAATATTATCTCATTTGTTTCTCATAACAACCTCCCAAAACTCCTCCAAAAACTTTAAATAATGCCTCAAAACAAATTCTGGAGTGGCAGAACCCACAAAAGGAAGGGGTGAAACAATTTTCTAGCCCGAGACAACTTAGAAGGTTAATAGGAAAGGTCTGTTGCACTGGTGTGAGAGTGGAGAGCTGACTGTGTCCCAGCAAATTAGTAGTAGGCCTTGGGAGTGACTGAATCAGGGGCAGCAGTGGCAGTTTCCAGACCTCTCAGCCTACAGAAGGTAAGAGGGTTAGACAGATGGTCAGAAGGAGATTATAGGGGTCCATTTGCCAGCACTGGGGGCAGGACTCTTTTTCATTGCCCACATTTGTATCTGGGTTACAGTCTTGGGTCTTAGCCCCAGGGCAAGGAGGAACACTAGCATAAGAGCTTGTGTCCGTAAACTTAGGACCTTGTTCACAGTTCCATGGTGGAAAGAGTGCTTGTGGTCACTCACAGAGCAGAACACAGGCCAAGAGAGTAGTAAACATACCTCTCCCTACATCATACCACCTTGGAAGAACTGAAAACCTGCAGGTCCCCAGAATTATCTCTGAAATAGCTGTTCAAAAGTCCTGAAGCTTGGGACAGAGCCCACCTTTAGCATAGAGTTAAAAGTCATGAAATAAGCTGGAAAAATGAGCAAACAGCAGAAAAAGATCCTGACTATAGAAAGTTAATATGGTGCGAGGGAAGATCAAAACACAAAACTCAGAAGATGATAAAGTCAAAACTGCTATATCCGAAGCCACAAAGAAAAATCTGAGTTTGTCTCAGGCCATAGAAAATCTCAAAAGAGATTTTAAAAATCAAGGAAGAGATAGTGGAAAAATTAGGAAGAAAAATGAGAGTGATGCAAGAAAATAATGAAAAAAGAGTCAACAGCTTGTGAAAGAGACAAAAAAGTACTGAGGATAATAACACCTTAAAAAAAACAGAATAGGTCAAATGGTAAAAGAGGCATAAAAATCTAGTGAAAAGAATAATGTCTTGAAAAGCAGAATTGGTCAAATTGAAAAAGATATACAAAAATTGACTGAAGAAAAGAACTCCTTAAAAAGTAGAATTGACCAAATGGAAAAGGAGGTAGAAAAGCTGACTGAAGAAAATGGAAAAGGAGGTAGAAAAGCTGACTGAAGAAAATAGTTCCTTAAAAATTAAAATTGGGCAAGTGGAAACTAATGACTCCATGAGACATTAAGAAGCAATCAAAATCAAAGGAATGAAAAAAATAGAAGAAAATGTGAAATAGGTCATTGGAAAAACAACTGACCTGGAAAATTGATCCAAGAGAGATAATTTAAGAATTACTGAACTACCTGAACTATGATATAAAAGAGCCCAGACATCATCTTTCAAGAAATTATCAAGGAAAACTGCTCTGATATTCTAGAAGCAGAGGGTAAAATAGAAATTGAAATAATCTACTAATAACCTCCTGAAAGAGATCCAAAATGAAAACTCCCAGGAATATTATAGCTAAGTTCCAGAGCTTCCAGATGAGAAACTATTACGCGCAACCAAGAAGGAAGGCAATGAATCCAAGAGGCAGAGATAAGGAAAACATTCCAGACATGGTGAATTGCTTGTGTAAATGCATGGAGGCGGGAGCTTCATACTTCAGGCCAGTCCAGGGTAGTATCTGTGATGATATGACTGGTATTATTGAAGGTGATGAGAGAGAGAAATGGTTGCTAAATCTGCTGTCACTCATCTTCTTACTGCTATTTCAAGTTCCCACAGGTCCACTAATCTTTTATGAAGCACCCCTAAATGATTGTCATACTTTCGCTTGCTCCTTTGTCAAAGGGAAAAAGGAAACAAGTATTTATTGAGCACCTACTATATGCCATACATTTTACAAATATTATCTCATTTGTTTCTCATAACAACCCTGGGACATTGGTGCTTATTTTACAGTTGAGGAAATAAGACAAAATAGTTTAAGTGACTTGCCCAGGCTTACACATCTGGTAAGTGTCTTGAGGCCAAATTTGAAATCAGGTCTTAATGACTCCAGGCTTTCACTGTACCAACAAGCTTTTTACTTGTCAGAGGCTTTAGACTTCTTCACAAGTAATTTCTGCACTTGACTTATTGTGATTAAATTCCACAAATAGTTTGAGCCCAGCTTTCCTCAGAAATGTTAATGAATATTGTTTCTGACCTCTATGTGGAAAGACCCACCAGTAGTTGTCTGTGTGCAACTTTGTTTTTCCTTATAGGGTCTAAGTGAAAATAAAGGAAATTTGCTCGTATATAGGAGAGAGCCTTTTCATTCCTTGCCCCTGTTTTGCTCTTTTTGTACCCAACACCTAGCAGAGAGTCTGGCACATAGTATGGTTTTAAGAAAAAATTGTTGGTTATTACTAGAAGTTTAAAAAAAAAGGCTACTGGGACTGGGTAATGCAGTGGATAGAGTGCTGGGCCTGAAGTCAGGAAGATACCCTCCCAAGTTCAAATCTGTCCTCACATACTTATTAGCCATGTGACCCTGGGCAAGTCACCTTTTTGCCACCGTTCCTCATATATAAAATGAGCTGGAGAAGGAAATGGCAAACCACTCTGGTATTTTTGCCAAGAAAACTTCATATGGGCTCATGAAGACTTGGATACAATTGAAACAACTGAACAACAAAGCAATAAAAATCCTTACAAAATTTGAAAAGGGTTCTATGTTTTATTTAAGAAAACATAAGGCAAAAGTTATGAGATTGTGTTCAGTTCCACAGAAGGCTAGAGAATGAGAAGCTTTGGTCAAAAGGAGCACATGTTGAATGTGGAAAGAAGGTAGGCTAGGCTTGTATTTGATGAAAAATCGAAGAAAGATTGAAGAAATATCTCCAAAAGTTTAACACCCAGGACCTCACCTACCAGAATTCTTGCCCTAGGTCACTGACCATCTGCAGTTTATAGTTGTAGGAGTCCCAGCAGTTGCCATTGGGAGAGCTTTGCAGAGGGAAAGTTCTCAATTACATTTGATGGGGTAGGCAAAGGAGAAATTGTGTTTCTGGTGTCCCAAGTTGTAATTCTAAATACATTTTTTATAAACACTGTTGCACATAAATGATTAGGTTTGTTGTAATCATTAGTGCAGTATTATGCTTCAGGTATAGCTTAGGTGAAAAAAGCAGGTT